GGTAACTTCATATATATAGAGAATGTTTTCCTAAATCCTAAACCAATTAGAAATACAAATTTCCTTTTCTTTAGATATCTCCTAAATATATTTAGATAACTCCTAAATATAACTATTCCTAATTGATCTAGGAAGCTTGCTGCTCAAGCTTTCTTCAAGCTTAATCGAACATGAGAGCTTTGAGAAGGAAGCATAGGGTTTGGGGAAAGCGAGAGCTGAAATTGATAAGAAATGACAGAAAGTAAAACTGGGGTTTTGGAAGTGAGAGAAATGGAGGAGATGAGAGAGTAAGGTTATTCAAGAAGAAGCTACAAACAAATTGCAGAGGAATGTTGCTAACATGAAACTGGCACTGGTGAAGGATAAGGTAGAATTGGAGAATTATAAGTCTGAGAAGAAGTGCACAGAGAAAGCTCTGAGTGAATCATAGAAAATGGAAATAGAGAAGGTGTTAAAGAAGGCCGAGTTGTGGAAGAAGCTAGGATTGCGCTAGCAGTGTTGAAGGAGAATAGCCTACTAATGGAGTACTCAATGATGACCAATAGAGTTCCTTGGAAGGAAAATTACAGTGGCTAGTGGTTGCTGCTGGTTCAGTTAACTTATTATCGACTGTAAGAACGAATGTTTTGACATTGTTTTTAATTTTCTAACTAGATTTTAACTCCGTGCATCCGCACGGGATTTTTTTATTTTTATTTCTAATATAATATTTTTTATAAAATTTCATTTTATTATTTATTTCTTTTTAAATCAAGAATTTTGTAATCATGTTTAACTTTGAATAGTTATAAATTTCTATATTAGTAGAATAAGGATATGAGTTAATTAAATATATATTGATCTAATGTTAATTATGAACTTTGTTATTATGTAAATTTACACATAAACAATCTACATATCTATGAATTGGCTAACAAGTCCGTTTAATTATCTCAAATTATTTTTTAATATTTAACATGTTTTGACAAACTAATCTGAATAAAACTGTAATTATAAATGCATAACTCTAACTTGCTCCATCATATTATTGTATAATATAAATATTTATCAATATTAAATATTTTATACTTTAGACCAATTGATTATGATTAAATATAATAAGATATTCATTTACCATTTGTGTTATTATGAAAATTTTATTTAAATTAAAAATTTTAAATTAAATCTAACCTGTATTCAAAGAATTTTCAAATAACTAAAGTTATTATCTAAAATTTCGTAATAAATTTATTTATAATTTTATTTAATTTTAAATTAAATGGAATCTATATTTTCGTAATTAAAATTAATTGAAAAAAATTTCGAATAATTTGAAATTTAAATTAAATATAAACTATATTTAAGGAAATCTAACAATATCTAAATTAATACTAATTTTTGAAATTTGATATAATATAAAATAAAATATTTTAAAAAAATTCAGGTATGTTTGGAAACAGGCACTAAAAATGCTTCTGTTTTAATAGAATAGATGGGATAAACAAAAGAAAAAAAACATGATATTAGAAAAACTCATGTATATACACAGGTATTCCTCTAGTAATATCAGAAAATCAGTCAACATTCATTCCAGGAAGAGCAATATCAGATAATGTTTTATCCCGCATGAAGTTCTACACTTTATATATCCGGCTTTGATCTGAGGTTCAGATTAGTACATGAGTTTATGTTCTTCTTGATAGGTTCTCTTATTTTCATGTTTCAATTGCTAAATTGGGTGAACAAAAATCTTGATGATCTTTAGTAAAACTAGCGGTTTAGTTTGTATTATTGTTTTTTCATTGGACCTGTTTCGGAGAAATATCATTTTCTATTTTTTTAGGAAAAACGATATATTTCCCCCTCAAAAATATTATATAGTAACAGATTCAACCAAATGTTCGACCTTGGCTTAAATTTTCCCAATTGCAAAGTTGAAAACTTATTTTTCCTAATTAGAAAGTTTGAAATCTATGTACCTTCAATATAAAAGTTCAAAACTAATAACCACCCAGACCATGATTTAAATCGGTTTACAATTTACCACTGAAGCTTAACAAATTAAAAATAAAATCAAACCAGAGTATGACCCGATTTCAATGGATTAACAAAATTAATACCAACCCAAAATCTAAACCCAAAGTAAACCCAAAAAAAAATTCCTCGTGAATTTCTGTGTAGCGAGCTTACCTTTGTGAATTCTTCTTTCTGTGACTGTCACCCTAGTGTTCTGTCTTCATCTTCTTCCTAGCATAGGACGGGCATATTGTGCATATCTTTTGCTAGCTTCCTCAATTCTCCTGCAAATTGTGCATAAGGTTCTGATTTGGATTTCGGGTTCCATGTCTACAAAGAAATGCAAATCACCCAATGTAAGACAAAAACGACATCAAAGTTAAAGCTTTGGCAATTCAATTCCAGTATGATCTATGTCTCTCTTCAACCTCTTTCGACATTTTTCTAGCAATGAATATTCTTTTAGATACAGTTGTTTACTTGGCTCTCCTTAAATCAGATATAAACTGTGCACAATAGACAGTTAAATCTTTAGCAATTCAGCTTCAATATGATCTCGAAATCACAAAGTCATGGGCCTCTCGAAATCAGTGGAATAACTTCCACTATATAGACTCTAGACGAGCTCGAAAATATGTTATTCAAATTTGTTTGTCACGAATTAAGTACTAGATCTTTCAGGTTTTGTAATTTTGCCGGTGGGATTGTTCCGTTGAGATAATTGAGATTGAGATCAATCGTTTGAAGCTCCGAGCACTGATATATTGCCAACATAATCTGTCTGGCAAAACGATTTTGAAATCTGCCCATCAAAATTGTTGTAGGAAAGTTTCAAGCTTTTGAAGGTTGGTGCAGTTGATAAGCGCAATAGGGATGTAGTCTGTTGGTGGTATGCTCTACAACCCGGTTGGGTCCGGTATAGACCGCCAGTTTATGATGGTCAATGCTGGAATGGCTTCGGCCTGATTTGAAGGTCCATCAGTGATAAGACCCAATGATAAAAGTTGGTGGGATTAGAGGGAGAAAACCCTAAGACACATGGGATTCAGTTACTGTTCAAGGGGCTGGACTCCTTTCCAAGGAATAGAGAGCTCACTAATATTGTATCCAGTTCGTCGAGAAACCTTCGAACCCAAAAATTTGTATTCCGAATTCGATATATTAATAAAAAGAGTCTTTACGACCTTGAATTACCAAATTGACCCTTTTAAGTTGAGATCTATAGTCAATAATTGGCGGTCACTGTGGGGCCGATTCAGTAATCGACCTTCGAACAACGATGACAGACGCAGCACAACCGACCTCTATCCAAGTCGGGAGCCAAGTCACCATGTTCGATAACGACCCGAGGCAGGTCCCACCACAGGTCGGCGGACCTCCAGGCGATGGCGAACATAGCCCGGCCCGACCTTCAGTATATACCTCAAGAGACAACGTATGACCGAGTTCAGTAGGAGCTCCAACCAGCACCGAAGCCCGACATGCAACGATAGCTACCTTCAATCTAACCGCACTCATAAACGCCTTCGCCGCTTAGATGCAGGAGCTGGTCAAAAGCAACGATGCCAAGTTCGCAACCCTCACTGCACAGATCACCAACTTGCAGCAAGAGAGTCCGCTTAGAAGATGGAACCTTATCAGCGATTTCCAGGGAGAGGGAAATCAACAACACACTGCAGCACGTTCGGTGGTCTAGCAGTTCGAAATCCCAATCCCCCAGTCGCACACCCCGGAAGCCACGCACGACCTAGAAATTGAGCGGATGCAAGCCTAACTACGTGACATTAGCTCAAATTTCCATCAGACAACCAGTTCGGCACCAAAGATCGACCGAGTAATCCAAGAAGCGCAGAAAACGTTATTCACCTCCCGGATAACCAACATTCCTGTGCCTAATCTCGAGAAATTAAAGCTACGACCATATGAAGGAAACTCAGATCCTAGGCACTTCCTCACGTCGTTCGAGATCGTGATAAACCGGCTAAAGTTCAGTTAGGCCGAACAGAAGGATGCCATCCAATGCCACCTTTTCGTCGAAGACCTCGAAGACATTGCATTGGACTAGTTCTCTAGGCTGGAAGCCAACTCCATCGACAACTATAAGGAGCTTTCGACCAAATTCGCAAAACATTTTTCTATGTTCATGGGACAGAAAACTCGTGTGGAAAATATCCCAGAGAGAGACCGAGTCCCTTAGAGATTTCATGGCCTGCTTCAAGGAGATCATAGCATAGTGCACAGTTGATGACGAAGCCGCCCTCGAAGCATTATACTAGAAGACCTGGTATAAGTCCTCGTTCCACAAGGAACTTCGTCGCAACAGACCCCTCACTCTCGAAGACGCGTTTCATAAATTGAATATTTTCATCGCGGAAGAAAAAGAGGAGGCCGCCAAGGATCGCCAGTACTCGGCAACAAAGCCTAACCAACCCCCGACCCCAATGGTTAAAGATATCCAAGGGGCAAACTGCAGCCCAGAAAATCAACTGGGATGGTAAACCAGGCCGGACCTTCAAATTCAAAAACAGGTTGGCCCCCGAAATCTTGGAACACGTGGAACCGAGAGGATGACACGCCAGCGAGTGAACGTTTTTGCGAATACCACGAACGGTACGGGCATAGCACGGAAGAATGCAGACATCTAAGAGACTTCTTGCTACAGCAGTACCACAAGGGGGAGGTCGCTGTTACAGACGTGCCCTGACCCGGCCTCTGACGACCAAACCTTCGACAGAACAAGTCCGAGAACCAAGAGCCCGCTAAAGCTACCGACTCCGACGATGAACCGACTGCTTCCCCTAAACGAGACCATGAAGCAGTTAACCGGGAAGCAAATGTTCCCAAATACAGAAAAAGGTTAACATGATTATTGGAGCACTGGAATCGTGTAATTATTCAGTTCGGGTGCTAGACGAGTATAGCCGCCAAACTTCAAGTGCCACCCTTCCACAACAACGGCTACAGTGACCTTACTCTTCACTGACGCCGATCTACATGGAGTATACATGCCTCACAACAACTGCCTCGTCGTCGAACTACAGGTTGGTGATGTCGAGGTAAGCAGGATACGGATCAACAGTTCGGTGAACGTCATCTTCAAGGAAACCCTTAAGAACATGGATTTCCCGGACTCAGAAATCAAGCCATATATGGAGTCGCTAACCGGCTTCACCGAAGATAAGACAATGACAGTTGGTACGGTGAACGTACCGATCTACGTCGGAGGATCAGCTCGAATGATCAAGTTTCTAGTCCTCAACAAGCTGGAGATTGACAACACCATCCTAGGTACTTCTTGGTTGTTCGACATAAAAGATGTGGCCTCCACCTTCCACCAGTGAGTCAAATTGACCCCATCCAGAATATACACATTAAAAGGAACTCAGACCATATCCCGGCAATGCCATCTCACCGAGTGCAAACTCAGTCTTGCACGAACATGCATCATAGGCCCCTGCCAGAAAGACAGTTTTTCGGTGGTAAGCGAGTTCGCCCAACCAAAGCAAAGCCTTGTCGAACAGGTCGGCATCGATCCAACCAATCCGGAGAGATGCGTAGGAATAGACGCTGAACTCGATAAAGATATCTGGGAGGCACTCGTCAACTTCTTCCGGAAGAACGTCGCCACATTCGCATGGTCCATCGACGGCATGCCGGGAATCAGCCCGGAGATCACTTGCCACGAGCTAAACGTTGATTCGACCTATAAGCCGATTAAACAGAAAAAACGCAAGCTCGAACCAGAAAAGACGCGAGCGGTCAACGACGAGATCAAAAAGCTTCTTAAGGCTGGTTCAATCATGGAAGTCCGATACCTGGACTGGTTAGCAAATCTATTGGTAGTAAAGAAGAAGAACAGAAAGTGGAGGATCTGTGTCGACTTCACCGACCTGAAAAAAGCCTTCCCCAAATACAGCTTCCCCTTGCCTCACATTGATCCTCTTGTGGAAGCAACAGCCGGAAACGAATTGCTATCCTTTATGGACGCCTTTTTGGGGATACAATCAGATACTGATGCACTCCGATGACCGTGAAAAGGCTTCGTTCATCACAGATCGGGGGATATATTGCTACAAGGTCATGCCATTTGGCCTCAAAGGTGTGGGTGCAACATATCAGAGACTTGTAAACCGTATGTTCGCTAGCCAGCTCGGCAAAAACAATGGAAGTGTACATCAATGACATGTTAGTCAAGTCATTATACGCTAAGGACCATTTCGGTCACCTTGCGTCATGTTTCGACATCTTGAATGAGTACAGGATGAAGCTTAATCTTGCTAAGTGCACATTTAGTGTAACAACAGGAGAGTTTCTCGGATATATCGTGACCGAGAGAGGAATCGAAGCCAATCCAAAACAGATAACGTCATCTTAGATCTGCCGTCTCTGACCTCGAAGAAAGAGGTCCAGAAGTTAACCGGAAGGATCGCCGCCCTTGATGCTACAAAAGCAGGGTGTCTGTTTTACTAAGCTTCAGGTTTTAATTTATAACCCCTAAATGTCTGCAAGTGCACAGATGTGCGCTGTAGTACTTATGGTAGCGATCCACAAAGACTTAGTTGTTTCAGTACAAATTCACGCTAATTCTTAAATCAGACTAGAACTAAACAGATTTGGGTTTTGGTTTTGGTTGTCACTAAATCTAAACTAAAAAGCAAGTAAAAAAGCAATTGAAAACAAAAGCAAGTGAAAGCAGGAAAATCGAATGAAAAGCGGAGAATGTAAACAATAGAAAACAAACGCTGGGCTCAAGGGTATTGCAGGGACTCATGGACTAAACCTATGATGAAAATAAGTAAATAATAAAGGTAATTGACTACGTATGTTTTAGAATTTGAGGCATGGAAGTATGAATAGTCTGCTTTTGCAGCACTAAACAACTATCTCTCGCAACCCTGACCAGTAGGTTTCCATTCTGACCCTGGAAGAGAGTAGATGCAATAGTTTAAAAAAGACTCATCAACATTCACAACTCATTTATAGGTAGGTTTCCAGTCCTATAATAGAATTGCTGATAACACCGGATTTTGACCATTTTTATGGATCACTTTAATGTCTTTCATAGGTGTTTTTACTCCATTTTCAAAGGTTTTCAAAGGATTTCTATGTTTTCGGATTTTAAAAAACTTTTCAGGTAATTTGGGATAAAGAGGCATAAATTGGAACAAAAAGACTCTTTTGGATAAATGTAGACCGTCAGAACTCTCATGGAGAGACGAAGATCTTCTCACCGTCTGATCACCCTCAAAATTGGACAACTTATAGAAGAATCAGCCAACTTTCAAATGCACTTTGTTTGGAGATATTCCAACGGTTGGATCTCAAGATACCCCATTTGCCCCGGAGATGTTCGTAGACGGCCAGCAAGTCACGCGACCGCGACCACCAGCCTATTTCCCGCGGTCACAAGCTTCCCGACCGCGGCTAACTACCTATTTCTCACGGTTACATCACTCCCGACCGCGGCCGGCCAAAGTCATTTCTGAAGCCCAAAGTCATTTCTCAGCCTCAATTCCGGAACCCATATTTCTGAAGTGACTATACACCATCATGGAAGTGAGCCGAGGAAGTGAAGGTTCGACATCGAGTGGTTGACTGGGTTGCGTAGAGAACGGAGAATAGAGGGAAAACCCATATTTCTGAAGCCTAAAGTCATATCTCAGCCTCAATTCCGGAACCCTAGAGACCATGGAGTATTGAAGATTATAAATACTTGTCATTTAGGTCGTTTTTAGACACAACCTTCATACTTTTACAGAAACCCTTTTCCTTTAGCCATTTTTATGCGATTTTTATAGAAGATTGTTCAAGTCTGAGTTCTTCAATAGAGAAGCTTTCTTTCATCTATTTTCTTTACTGTTTTTGATTACTTTTATTAAAACCAATGATGATGTCGACCTCAGCCATGTCTGAGTAGATCCCGAGTTGGGCTTAGGGTTCCCGAAAGGGGCTCTCATAATCGATTAAGATATCTAGGTTTATAGATCTGGGATTTTAACTTTGTTCTCTGTTTATTCTCGTTCTTATTGCATGTATGCTTGATTGATCACCTAGTATCTGATCTAGATAGTTAGTGTTGCGAAAGTTTTCATTAAGTATCAGACCTAGAATGAAACAGGCGATTTTTTCGTAGGAGTGGAAACCTACCTGCGGCGAGATTGTGAGTACTGACGAGTCTTGTGCAGCTCTTGCGTTCTCTCCCTTCCAGGGCTAGAGTGGAAACCTACTGGTCAGGGTTGCGAGAAACAGTTGGTTATGATCACGGCAGTGACGTAGTCATACCGCCGTACTCTAGCTCTAGAACCCTATATTTTGATATCCGTCAATCCCAATCTGTCATCCCTAGTGTTAAAACTGATTATGATCCCTGTAGAGTTCCCGAAAGCTCAGCGTTTTTAGCCATAGTTTACAAATCAATCGATTTTTACTTGCTTATTTAGGTCTGCATTTCAATTGCTTTAGTTCGATATTTTGCTTGCTTTATTTGCTTTCCATTCGATTTTTCAACTTGTTCCTTAGGATAGATTTATTTGCTTTTTTCGTTTTATTTTAATCCGTGAAAAACAACCAACCTCTAAAACCAATCTAGTCTAGACATAAAGTTAGAAATTGTAGAAGAATACCAGGCACACAAAATCTCTGTGGATTCGATCCCTAAATACTACAACTGATTAGCTGTGCACTTGCGGCTTTCATTTGTTTTTGTTAAAGGTAAAACTTGTTCCCTCACGGAGTTGACACGCATCAATTGGGCGATTCACCCTAGGTCAGACAATCAATGAAAACTTTCGCAACATAGCATATCTAGATCGAATTCTAAGTGGACAGCAGAGAATCACGAAGTAAGAATTAAGGTTAACGAACAACACCTAGAAGATTATAAATCCTAAATCTATCGATTCATAGATGAGACACATGAAATTCCCTTTGAAAAATCATTTTAAACCCAATTGGGAAACTAATCAAACATATTGTAACAAAGCATCATGAACGTATTGAGACTGCTAGTAATTAAAAAGAACAAAGAAGAAAAACAAAGAACAGAGTTGCAGGTGGAGGCGCGATGATGCACTACTTTGGCGGCTTCTTCTTCAGAACCGACGGCTTCTCTAGGGTTTTGTAAAATTGAGGCACACACACAAACACACCCTTTAGAATGATCTGAAAGGGGTATCTATAGCTTCTGGAGTTTTCTTGGACACTTAGGGCTTCAAAAATAATAAAAGAATCGACTTGGGCTTTAATTAGTTTGTCTAGGAAGTTAATGTTGTCTGGCCGCAGTCGCGGTGCTTGTACCCATGGGGAACCATGCTTTGGTCGCGGTCCCGACTTGTGCTGTCTTCCGAGACTGCATTTTCTATCTTTATTGCATCGGGAATATCTAAAGATCTAACCGTTGGATTGTCTCCAATCTAAGTGCATTAAAAAGCTGGTTATATCCTCTATGTTGTCTCAAATTTTGGGGGTGATCAGACGGTGAGAAGGTCTTAATCGTTTTCCATACTTCTGACGGTCTGCATTTATCCAAAACTGATCATTTGTTCCAAATTGCATATCTTTTTCACAAGTTTCCTGAAAAGGCTTTTGAAACTCTTAAAAATTGAAACACCTTAAAAACCATTGAAAACAGGGTTAATACACCTGCATAAGACATTATTATGATCCATAAAAGTGGTCAAATTACGGTGTTATCAGTTCTCAACAGATTCATTTCCAGGTCGACAGATAAATGTTTGCCGTTCTTCCAGTTTCTCCGTGGAAACAAGCACCACGTATGGGGTACCGAATGCGAAGAAGCTTTCCATCAGTTGAAAACATATCTCTCAACGCCCCCGGTATCGGCTAAACCGGAAGACGGTGAAACCTTGTACTTGTACATTGCTATGTCGGCAGCAGCGGTCAGCAGCGTCCTAGTCTGCGAGGACAGAGGTGAGCAACGACCGATCTTCTACGTTAGCAAGTCACTGATCGATGTCAAGATCAGGTATCCGACCCTAGAAAAACTAGCATTGGCAGTTGTTGTTTCAGCCTGCAAGCTCCGACCCTACTTTCAGTCACATTCTGTCACTGTCTTAACCAACTAGCCACTATGCACCATTCTGCATAGCCCGAGCCAGTCAGGCTGACTCGCGAAATGGGCTGTCTAGTTGAGTGAATACGACATCGATTATAAAAATCGAATCAGCGCCAAGTCTTAAGTTCTAGCCGACTGCCTAATCGAGCTACCGAAGGAATTCATCGTCGAGCAGCCAACAAGTGAATTGTGGATTCTCCACGTCGATGGATCCTCGTCACATCGAGGTTCAGGGGTCGGAATTCGTCTCAAGTCCCCAAAAGATGAAATTCTCGTGCAATCATTTCGTCTTGAATTCCTGGCGTTGTGTGAGCCAAAATTCGCACAACCAGAATTTGTGAAGAGAAACTAAGGGATCTGAAACTTCTAGGATAATCGAAAGAATAGTAAGATCAAAAGAGGATTTTATTGCTGTAAGTGTTTAGTCTTTGTTGCTTAGGGTTGCCAGAGTTGGCGGAATGAATTGCATACATCATATATTTATACTAACTATCTAAACCGCCTAGCCGAAAATCTCGGGCAAAATTTTCGGAATATTTCCTTATCGCCTCGTGCGGCTGACCGCCTTTGCATCTCGCCTAGGGTTTTCCATGGGCTTCACCTCTCAAGGCTTCGGTTCGGCCCATCCATGCTTCTTTACGGCTCGGCCCATCTAGCCTCCTTCACGGCTCGGCCCACTGGCCATGGAGACATGATCTAGCCCACCGCACCGATACACAGCTCGGCCCAAACATGTTGAAGTGGGGCTCGGCCCATTTCTTTCGATGCGGCTCGGTTCACCTGTCTTCTTTCACGGCTCTCCCCACTGGCCTATCTGCACGGCTCTCCCATTCGTCTTGGTGAGAACGGCTCTCCACTTGTCATGGTGAGAACGGCTCTCCCACTTGGCCAGCACGGCTCTCCCACTTGGCGACCACGGCTCTCCCACTTATCTTTCTTCCATACTTAGCCATTCTAAGGTGGTTTATCTACTTGGGGTGAAAACCGACCCCAACAGTTAGCCCCCCAGCTTGTCAGTTTCGGAGGCGAGAGTGACGAGGTCCATTATTTCCGATCGTAGGATAAACCACTGAGTTAGACGCCGAGGCGTTTTGGGAATGAAGATGCCGAGGTGTTCTGGGGATGAAGGCGCCGAGGTGTTTTAGGAATGAAGACGCCGAGGCGTTCCCAAGGAGTGCCGAGGATGCCGAGGCGTCCGAGATGGTACCGAAAATGCCGAGGCAAGATTAAGGACGAGGCAATTTTTTTTAAATAGTGACAGCCCATGACGAGGTGATTTTAGGAGGTGATGCCGAGCCGAACAAATGGCGAAGCGTTTTGAGAGAAAGCTCGTTAGCGACGAGGCGTTTCAAGAAACAGATTCAACGCCGAGCCATTTCGTTAACGGCGAGGCGTTTCGAGAGAACAGATTCAATGCCGAGCCGTTTCGTTAACGACAAGGCGATTCAAAAGAGAAAGAGTCAATACCGAGCCGCTTCGTTAACGATGAGGCGTTTCGAGAGAACGGATTCAATGCCGAGCCGTTTCGTTAACGACGAGGCAATTCAGGAGAGAAAGAGTCAATACCGAGCCGTTTCGTTAACCTGGGTACCCTGACTGTTGGTCTTTCGAGAGGAAATTCCGGATCTTTCGGCGCGTGCCAACGATGCAGCCCGGTATAGCCAATTCACCGCGGATCCCACACGCTGTTGGACGGCTTCTCGAGGTTTACGCGGAATTCACGCGCTTCGTTTTTCTATAAATAGGTGAGCTCCTTCACTCTTCCTCATTATTTCCCGACTCATTCGTTTTCACTAAAGGTAGCTCTCCCTTCTCTCTTCTTTCTCTCTCTAGTTTATTTATTTTCTGGCTAGGGTTTCCGAGGTCTCTGCCGTTCCAAATCTTTTTCCGGCAGAGGCTCGCCGAGTCGCGCTGTAACTCTTGTAAAAGTCGTAAATTATGTCGAGCTGTTCCGACGATTCGTTGGAATCAATTTTTCACTACGAGCCAAGCCGCGTAGACGCCGAGGCGAGAGGTACGGCAGAATCCTCCGAGGCGTCTGCTTCGCCGAGCCCCTCCAATCACTCATCGGACGAAGCGTCAAACCATGAAAACCCATCAGATGTCGGCTCTCCAGATGGCGAGCCGTCGGTTTCGACGAGCCGTCCCCAGGATCCCGTTCCTAACGAGGACATTAACCGCGCCGCGCTCAAGGCCGAAGAGGAGGCATTTCCCTTTGATCTTTTCAAGGCGAAGCTTGAATTGGAACACCTCATGGCGTCCCGAGGAACTTCCACATCAAGGCGAGGGCCGAGAGTTAAGAGACAAAAACCTGACCCGCCTGGATCTACACTCTGCTCCCTTGAGTCGCTCGAGGCGTTGAGGCATCGCTTCGGAATATCCGAGGCGGTGGAGTTCGTCGTTCCAGAGAAGAGCGACCGAGCCGACAACCCTCCAGAAAATCATTTCACTCTGTACGAGGCGTTCTTCGAGCTTTGCTTCCTCTGGTTCCCGATCCCCGGAGTGATCCTCGAATACCTTTGGAAACACGGGATCTCGATTGGGCAGATTATGCCGAGGGGATTACGGCATATGATTGGCATTTTAGTCCGAAGCTTCGAATGCGGTCTCGACATCGAGCTGAATCACCTGCTGAACTTGCTGAAAATCAGGAAAGCTCCGAAAGGAAATAGGTTCTATATTTCCAACAAGGCGAAGCGACGGATTATTGGCGGTTTTTCCAGCAAGGATCAGTTTTGGACTGAACGCTTCTTCTACGTCTTGGTGAACGAGGCGTCGGTCGGCGAAGATTACGTTCACCGAACCAAGACAGCTTGGGGACCACTTGGTAGCCGACCCGAAGCTTTGCCTCGGCTCGGAGATTCAGTTGATATTCTCTTCCTTTTCTGAGACTTTTGTTTTTTGCTTTGTTTTGCAGTTTGGTGCTATCTTCCCCCGATTCCCGACGATCTCTTTACTGTTCGAGACTCTCTTTCGGCGCGGAAGGTTAAGTGGAGAAAAAACTTCACCCTCGAAAGAATAGAAAAGGCGCGAGCCATCCTTGCCGGAGTCCCCGTCAGTTCTTCGTCCTCAAGTTCTTCAAGAGATACCCGGGAAAAAATGGTGGTAATCGCCCTTAGAGAAAGGAAGAGGCACGAGGAAGAGGAAGCCGCTAGACGAGCTGCCGAGGCGGCTTGCGCGCAAGCCGAGGCGGTCTCAGCGCAAACCGAGGCCATCCTTCAACCCGACCCTCCGAGCCGGGAAGGGGACGTGATGATCCGAGCCGCAAAAGGGAACGCTGCCGAGGCGGTTGAAAAAGAGATAGCGCCCGAGGAAGAACCGGGCGAGATAATCTCCGAGGCGTCAGGGGACGGCTCGGCGGCGCGGAGCAAAACACCTTCGCACTCCGCCATTCTGGCTCTCCCGAAGTCGACGAGGCCGCCAACTTCGGTCATCCAGAAGCATGACCCGAGCCGAAAGCATTCGGCTGCCGACAAAGGGAAAGGCGTCGCCGTTCAAAAGGACGAGCCGGCGAAGAAAAGGCGAAAACCGACGCCAGGGGATCCTGCTGCGCATAAGTTGGTCGTTGACGACCCTGACGCCTCGGCTGTCATGTTCTCGCGCGTTAATAACGCGAACACGCGCCTTCCCCCATCAGAGAAGCTGAGGAGGCCGAGGTCATACGGCGCGATGGCACATCGCGGTACTAAGGTGCGTTTTATTTGCCTTTCTTTATTTTCGCGAATTTTACTAAGTGTTAACCGGAGTTTATTCTTTGCAGTTTGTCGCGGCCATTAATGACCTGATGGCCGAGTACGAGGCGGACCTTTCTAAAGTTGAGCGTCGCTTGGACGAGGCCCAAAACGAGACCGCAGCGTCAAAGGTGAAGCTGGAAGAGGTGCAAAACGAAGCCGCGGCAGCAAAGGGGAAGCTCACCGAGGCGATGACCCGAGTGTCGAGGTTGGAAGAAGAGAAGATAGTTCTCCGAGCAAACGTCAACAAAGTTTCCGCCTCGGTGATTCGCCTGGAGGAAGCAAGGAGAGCCAAAAGCGTCGAGGTGGCGTTGCTTAAGAGGCGCATCGAGGCCAAGGACGCGCTGTTCGAAGCCAAGGTCAAACGCGAGCTGACGGCAAAGTTTCAGGAACGCCTTGCTAAGGTGGAGGAGGGTTTGGTCAAGCTCGAGAAGCTCGGCATGACCAAAAATGATGAGAACGATCTGGGACAGATCAAGGGCAATCTCGCGATGATTGCCGACCTGAAGAAGCCGGACGCCCCGACGCTTGACGACGAGGAGGCGAAGCTGAAAAGCTGGGAGAGTGAGTATGCCGACGACGAGGCGTACGAGCGTATCGCTTCCGAGATTCGGGGCGAACTGTATTACTCTCCCGTATCGCCGGACTCGGTTGACATAACCCTCGGCAACGAGCCGATCGAAGAAACAGCGGCCAATTTAGGCGTTGTGGACCCGAACGGCTCGAACGCGGGTACGCCGATTCCCTCGAACCTTCTCGCCGATCGTGAAACGCAGTCCGCGGCATGAGTTTTGGCTCACAAATTTTTCTTGCTTGCTTTTGTACTTAGGATTTTATCCGCTCTCTTTTGAACTTTTATGTGTTTTGTGCCTGGACGGCTTTATCCACCCGACTCTTTATTTTTTGCTTAATGGATATATTTTCCTTAGCCGTTTTCGGACTTACTTGTCCATTAATTCGCAAAAATGTCTACGAAAAATTGTCAAGGACGGAGGCTGTTATGTTGATTTTTTCCTTTACTGTATTTTCGAAATTGACCGGAACATGGGCTAAGGGATGAATTGTTTTAAGGACCTCGTTTAGGTTCTAGACGAATTTTTGATAGTAAAAGAGCGTTACGCGATAATGTTTAGGCAAGTCTTTGCTGGTAATGCCGAGCCGTGTTTACGGCGAGGCGTTTTCGCTTTGAATGATGTCGAGCCGTGAAAACGACAAGGCGTTTCGTTTCGAGTGGTGCCAAGTCGTGAAAACGACGAGGCGTTTTTGTTTTGAATTGTGCCGAGCCGTGAAAACGACGAGGCGTTTTGTATCGAGTGTTGCCGAGCCGTGAAAACGACGAGGCGTTTTGCTTTGAATGGTGCCGAGCCGTGAAAACGAGGAGGCGTTTCCTTTCGAGTGGTGCCGAGTCGTGAAAACGACGAGGCGTTTTGCTTTTGTTAGCCAAGGATGAAGTGTTATCAAACCTGTCTAAGGACCGGTGTTCTCGAGTATGTTTATCCGGGTTTAAGAGTTTTACATCGGTTTTAGAGAAAGCGATGTAGTCTCGACTTATATTCTCGTGTGCCATAGTAAACCGTGGCGACCTGATACGTTTTTGGTCTGATATTTGTATAGCGCGCTTTAATTTTTATCCGTAGAGGATGTAACTTGCACCCTCGTCCTAGGAAAGGTGGCAAAATTCCGTTTAGAGAACTTTGTACTTGTTGCCCCGTTGTGGCCAGCAACGAGACGAGGCGTTCGAAGGCTTAGTTTGCCGAACTGAAATTGAGGACCGTTAAAGGTCCGAGGTAATCAGGTCATGATATCATGCCGAAGTGGTGAGTTAAAGAATTCAAAAATCCGAGCTTGTTACAATGTGAATCTAACCGAAGCGATAATAAATGAACCAGAAATCAAGGGTAAAAGTGAAATAAGTAGATGATTAAAAACGAACTGAGAATATGCCGAAGTGGCGACGTTCCTAAATGGGCAAGTCAAAATAATAGAGTTAAAGGAGGTATGTGTATACGTACCCACTCCCCCCCCCCCTTTTTAGGAGGGGGGACAGCTGAACTCGTCCGAAGACGGGCTGCCTACGTACCCTTTGCAGGGATCAAGCCGTCCCGTAGTTCATACTGGCCGTGCTGTGGTTTTAGTGATAATACTTCTTTAGATGCATTGCGTTCCATGATCTTGGAATCGCTTCGTCAGCTAGTGTCGTGAGTTCGTAGACTCCTGGACGAACCACTTTTGTGACTTTGTAAGGACCTTCCCAATTTGCTCCGAGCTTTCCTGCGTTCTTCTCGGCTGTGTTTTGGAAGACCTTTCGGAGGACGAGCTCCCCTGCTTTGAATCTTCGACTACGAACGTTTTTGTTGTAGTATCGCGCCGTTGCTTGTTGGTAGTTCTGGATTCGAACTAGGGCTTGGTCGCGCTTTTCGTTGATTAGGTCAAGCTCATCTAGCATCCTTAAGTGGTTCAAGCCCTCCTGCCCTGGTAGAAGTCTTCGTCGAATACCTGGGAAATCCACCTCGGGGGGAATTACGAACTCCGATCCGTAGACCAGAACGAATGGAATTTCCTCGGTGGCTCGGCGCGGAGTTGTCCGATGAGACCAAAGGACTCCTTCGAGTTCGTCTGCCCATCGTCCCTTCTTGGCGTCGAGCCTCTTTTTCAGACCGTCGAGTATTGTTTTGTTGGCTGCTTCAGCTTGTACGTTCCCTTGGGGGTATCTTGGCGTGGATTTGCTGAGGCGGATTTTCTACTTCTCGCAGAAGGCTTCGAAGCGTGTTGAGATGAACTGGGATCCGTTGTCCGTGACTATTTCGTAGGGGACCCCGTGTCGGCAGATGATATTTTTCCAGACGAAGTGTTCGACTTAAGCATCCTTTATGCTTGCATAGGAATCGGCTTCGACCCATTTGGAGAAGTAATCCGTGAGGACGAGCAGAAAACGCTTCTGCTTTGAGCGATGTAGAGGTCCGACGATGTCCATCGACCATCTCATGAACGGATAAGGCGACGAAATCGACGAGAGCAGCTCGGTAGGTTGATGAATTGTCGGGGCGTGCCGCTGACACTTCTCGCACTTAGCCGTAAATTTCTCGCAGTCCTTGATCATCGTGGGCCAGAAGTAGCCGTGCCGTTTTATCTTGATAGCGAGAGACCTTCCACTGGAGTGGTTCCCGCACGCGCTGCTGTGCACGTCGTGCATGATCTTTCTTGCCTCCGGTCCTTCGACGCATGTCATGAGAGGCCCTGAGAATCTCCATTTAAACACCTCGCCATCGACGAGGACGTAACGTGCGGCCTGAGTTTTTAGTTTGCGGGCTTCCCATTTGTCAGTTGGCACCTCTTCATCAGCGATGTACATTCGGATAGCTCCGAGCCATTCTTTGTCGCAACCGTATTCCGGCTCGGCTTGTGAGGCGTCTTCTTCCATTGGAATGGCTTCGTCGTCCTCTGGTTCTTGTTCAGGAGGATTTATCAGCCAAACTCCTCCCACTTCTTCGATACTAGGACGTTCGATGAATTTGACTGGGATCGTCCGTCGGAGATCTGGGTCTGAGGTCGAAGCGAGTGCTGCCAAAGCGTCAGCCGAGGTGTTTTCTCCTCGGGGAATTCGCGTGAGGTCGAACTCGTCGAATTTTTGCACCAACTCTCGAACCACCTTGAGGTAAGCTCCCATTCGTCCATCCTTTGCCTCATATTCTCCGTTAAACTGGCATGCTACGAGCTGTGAATCACAAAAAGTCCTTATCTTTCGAACCAGGATTCCCTGCGCTAGTCGTATGCCAGCGATCAGTGCTTCGTATTCTGCTTCGTTATTCGAGGCGTGGAAGTTCAGGCGAAAAGACTGCTCTAATATTTCTCTGGTGGGAGAGGTGAGGTGGATTCCTATCCCCGAGCCATTTCTAGATGACGAGCCGTCGACGTGCAATGTCCATACTTCGTCTAGAGTTGGCTCGTTTGTTGCTTCGGCCGGGAGTTCAATGAGAAAATCAGCGAGCACTTGTGATTTTGCAGACGACCTATTTCGATACTCGATGTCGTATTCGCTCAGCTCTATGGCCCACTTGGCGAGCCGACCGGATTGGCTTGGGCTGTGCAGGATCGAGCGCAGCGGAAGTGTGGCGAGCACAACAATCGAATGCGATTGAAAGTATGGGCGCAGCTTGCGAGACGAGACTACGACGGCTAGGGCGACCTTCTCGATCTAGGGGTAGCGGGTCTCGGCGTCGGTCAGCGTCTGGCTGATGTAGAAAATGGATTTTTGCTCGGATCGTTCTTCTCTGATTAGTACCCCACTTACAGCTGTAGCAGACACCGCAATGTAGAGGAAGAGCGGCTCTCCTTCGACCGGTTTTGCTAAGATTGGTGGGCTTGCCAGATAAGTCTTCAATTCCTGGAAAGCCGTCTCGCATCGTTCATCCCATTCAAATTTCTTGTTCCCTCTGAGGGTGTCGTAGAAGGGCAGGCATTTGTCTGTGGAACGGGAAATAAACTTGTTTAGCGCGGCAACTCTTCCTGTTAGTCTTTGCACTTCGCGCTTCGTCCTTGGAGAGGGCATCTCAATTAACGCCTTAATCTGCTTGGGGTTCGCTTCTATGCCCCGGTGGGTTACCAGATAGCCGAGGAATTCTCCCAAGGTGACCGCGAACCTGCACTTCGCTGGATTTAGCTTCATGTTGTGCTTGTTCAGCTGTTTGAAACATTCTTGTAGGTGCGCGACGTGGTCTTCCTCCTCGAGTGACTTGACTAACATATCGTCGATGTATGCCTCCATAGTTTTTCCGAGCTGAGCCGCAAACATTTTGTTGACGAGCCGTTGATATGTTGCTCCTGCGTTTTTGAGTCCGAATGGCATGACCATGTAGCAATATATCCCGCGATCAGTTATGAATGCTGTTTTTTCTCGGTCGTCAGGGTGCATCAGAATCTGGTTGTAGCCGGAGAATGCATCCATAAATGTTAACAGTTTATTTCCTGCAGTGGCTTCGACGAGCCGATCGATGTGTGGCAAGGGAAAGCTGTCTTTTGGGCACGCCTTGTTGAGATCGGTGAAATCCACACAGACCCGCCACTTGCCGTTCTTCTTCTTTACAACCACCGGATTCGCGAGCCAGTCCGGATATTTGGCCTCGGCGATTGATCCTACATTGAGTAATCTCTCGACTTCGTCGTTAACTGCTTTAGCTCGTTCTGGACCAAGCTTTCTTCTTTTCTGCTTGACTGGTTTAAAGGTCGGATCTACATTCAGCTCGTGACAGGTTACATCGATGCTGATGCCTGGCATATCTTCCGCCGTCCAGGCAAAGGTATCGATGTTTTCCTTGAGGAGGGAAAGGAGCTTGCTTCTCAGGGGCTCTCCTAGTTGTGTTCCAATTTCGACGCACCATTCCGGATGCGCCTCGTCTATGCACACCGAGTCCACTGTGTCACATATCGGCTCGGTGCGTGTTTCACGGCTCTCCGCGATCTGTAATTGCTATAAGAGTTTGGAGAGCTTGTTCGCGGGCTCTCTATCTGTCTTCATCTTTTTGCGGTCTATGTCAGCTCGTGCGTCGGTGACGGGGTTCCTCAGTTTGTGCTCGGCTAGGCAGCACATTCGTGATTCCTTCTGATTCCCCCAGATCGTTTGACGCCCGATGGAGTTGGGAATTTGAGGCAGAGATGGTAAGTGGAGGGTACTGCCCGCATTCCGTTGATCCAGGGAGTTCCCATGATCACATTGTAGATTGATGGGTGGTCCGTGACGCAGAATTCGACGATCTTAGTGACTCCGCCAGCTACCACGGGAAGTCTGAGC